ATTAATTACTAATAATTTAATAAGCCAATAACTAGCAAATATCATTTTCTTTTTGAAGGAATAGTAAATATCATTCTAAAAACCACCCAAATTTAAAACTTTCGTAAGCAATTGGTTTTTTTTATGCTTTTGTTAAATCTTATAAATTACAAGTTTATTACTTATTTTGATTAAATATAAACCGGTCAAATGAATTCTTTTTGTTTTTTAACTGAGAATATTACGTGCAGACCGTATAACTCTTTAATAAATATAGAATCAGATTTGGTGTTTTCCCTTTATATATAAACCACCTTTGTTTGATCAAATATAGTAAGAGAAAGTATGAGAGAAAAGTTGTTTGACATCCAAACCATTAGGTAGCCAACTAAAAATAAAAAAATCATAATGTGAAATAAATAAAAGAAAATAAATAGTTAATTAACACAAAGAAAAGAAAATGAATAATTAATTAACAAAAAGAAAGGAAAATGAATACTAATTAACATAAATTGCAATATGCATGTAAAAGTACAACAATCCCCATGCTTTTAATAAAAACATAAATTACATATAGGGATATAAATGTCTTTGACATATTAAACATTTTTAAAAATCAAAATTTTTGAGAAAATTTTGAAGAAACCATTTCTACTCTCTAACAATGTCATATCATCACTCCAAAGTTTTTCATATATATATATATATATATATATATATATATAGTCAATTAGTTATTTAGATAACATTAGGTATGATAATGGTCCTTGACTCGTTGGGGAACCCGGTCCACCCGTCTTGGTTGGGGATTCCCCACTAAATCATGGATGGGGATGCGGAAAGGGATTCCTGTTTGTCTCAAATCGATGATGGGGCTGCAGACGGATATCGCACTCCCCGTCCTGCTATGTACCCGTCATATATTAATTAATAAATTAAATATATATTATTTATTTCAATTAGATTGGTAGTTTTTTTTTCCTAACTAGTTTTTTTGTCCTTCGTTGATCCGTCATTGAAAGTTTCCACCGCTGATTTGTCGCCGTAAGTTTTCATCGCTGAAAGTCTCTCTCGCTTATCCGTGGCTGAAAGTTTCCGTCGTTGATACGTTGTTGAATTTCGTTGCTGATAGCATTACCTACAAGCTTTTGACCGACGAACGATCAACGACGAATCATCAACGAAAGACCCCTTTTAGCAACGGATCAACAAGTAAATTTTTCGTCGCTGATACTCTTATTTTTGTAGTTAACATCACATAAACCACATCAGCATGCATTTTCACTGCACATAAAACAATAAATAAACAAGGAAAACGCTTACCATCTACTATATATTAATGCACTTTTCATAGTGGAAAATGCATCATAATGGTATGTACTTTGTTTTTGTTGTTATTTTAAGGAATCTTTTTCAAAAAAAAATTAATATTATATATATATATATATATATACACACACATCGGTAATGGACCTGAGAATTATTTTGAAGGGTGCATATTTAAGATCGACCAAAAAGTCATAAAATAGCCGTTGATGCTGGGGGAGTCTTTGCGATTTGACCCAATAAAAGATTAATTCCGTCAATTTAAGGAATAAAATACACTTTTCAAAATAATACGAAATCTAAAACAAATAGATTATAAAAATAAAGTAAAAACATATCATAATTTTCATTGCATTACACAAATGAGTGGTTGAACCATTTATTCGTGGAAGGCTCAAAGTTAAGGTTTTATTTATTATTATAAATCGTTTTAAGGTGGGATTAAAAAATATTATTTCTCATTTTTATTTGGATAGAATAAAATCATAAAGAGTTGATGACTACTATTACTATATACAGATGGTGGGTCCCATGTGAGCTGTCTTTCATATCACCGACCGGAACCCTACCCTTGAAACTTTTTTTTTGGTTCGTTTCTTCTCGAATCGTTTTTCCATTTTTCACTTTATTTTCAATCACTGTTCACGTAATTCAACTTGTAATAGTTTGATTATTGGGATAAATTTAATATAATCATAATATATATATATATATATATTTAAATTTAAATGGAAGTCGTAAAAAAAAACTAAAAAACATTTAATAATCATTCATTTATATTATGTATGTGAATAAAAGAATTGGAAATTGTTTAATGGTTTTTATGTATGAATTTTATGCACACATATGTATCGAATATATTAATGGTTATTAACATGTTCAGCAGTTTTCCATTTAGTTGTTGTATGGTTTTTTTTTCAACCTACCTATTTATATATACCTTAGAAGGATACTCATATAATTCAGTGATATATATCCTTATTTTAGTGTTTTGTTTTAAATAGTTTTTATAAAAAAATTTAATACGGTTTTTATGTGGTTTTAAGAAAAGAATAATGTTTTTTTGTTTTTGAATAAAATATAAATGTGAATATATCATAAAAATTCGAAAATAAATGTATCAATATTAGTATCAAATTAACTATTTAAAAGTTCTTGTTTTTTTGTGTAATTTCTTTAATTCAATTTTTTTTATTATAATTTAATTTAGATATAAAAACAAAGAAATTTATTTTTGATTTAATAATATAATTTTTTATAAGGATAATAATTAAGTATTTTGTTAGAACTCAATGATTATTTCAATTATATTTTAGATTTTTATATTTAAAATGAAAATTTTATATTGTATTTGACTATATTTATCTGCAATTAGTTACACGAATTCAAACATGTAACTTTAATAAGTTGTACTTACGTACAGTTTATTTGTAATCTTGAATTTTAGGAAATATGTATCAATAAACAGTATTTCATACATAAAAAATGGGTTTTAGGAGTTCTTATCAAAATGCTTTAGAATATAGTGTGTGTGTGTGTGTATATATATATATATATATATATATATATGTGTGGGGGGGGGGGGGGGGGAAGGGATAAAATGCAAACCAAACTATTTGTATGAACCATGAAAACTATCAATTTTATTATTTATTTTATTGAATTTTTTTCATGAAATTGTTTAATATGATGAAAATGTTTCATATATTTTTCTTTCTATGTAAAAAATAAATTGTTTCATTTATGTCTTATTTTGATGAAATTTCTTTACTAAAATTAACAGAATGAATGTGATAATGCCCATAATTATATGAGATGAATTATTTGAAATCACTTTAAACAATTTTATTAAATTTTTTCACTAAAATAAATACTGAAATCCAAGGTTTTCATGGTTCGTAAAAATGGCTTAGTTTGCAAAATATCCCTCCTCTATATATATGTGTGTGTGTTGTAAAGTCAACATCAAATGCAAACCAACCAAATCTTTTAAACCATAATCAATCTCAAATGTTCATTTAATTTAACGAAAATCTAGTTTCATAACTATATCGACTATTTCCTAATAATAAAACATTGTTCATGATTAATAACTATAACCATCTTACATAAATTAATATTTAAATCATAATAAATTAACCTTCATCATTTCCATAGACATTGATTTGCCATATATATATATATATATATATATATATATATATATAGAACGTTTTAGATGCAACTCATCACATTTGTAAAATCAATGCAACTATATTTATGGAAATAATGAGAGTTCATTTATTATGATTTGAATATTTATGGAAGATGACTAGAGTTCATTAATTATGATCAATACTTTATATTAGGAAACAATCAAATTTTGAATGAAATCACATATACTCATCAAATTAAATGGACGGTTGTGATTGTGTTGTATTGGTTGTACACAATGTAAAAGTTGCATAATAACTCATCTCTCTCCCGCTCTCTCGCTCTATGTATGTGTGTGTGTGTATAGAAGGTTTATTTTGCAAATCACGTTATTTATACAAATATTACAAAGCTCATTCAATCAATCATAATTTTTCATTTTGTTCATTTTTTTGTAATTATTAGAGGTTAATTAATCATTTTTATTGTGCAAGGTGTTAATCATTGATATTATCATATTCATTATATTAATTTTAGAGCAATACATGAAACATTTTCATTAAAATTACATAAATATTATATGAAATAATAATTATAACTGTATATGAAACAACTTCAAAAAAAAATATTATATGAAACAATTTCATAAGATTAATCATTAATGATAAATTTGATAAGATTAAACAATGAAATCGACGGATGAGGGTGATTTGCATGATTTGTACAAATATGGGTGATTTGCATTTGATCGTTTCTCTCTCTCTCTCTAAGAAAAGAAGATTCATATGTGAATTATTAAAAAAATTAAAAAAAATTTGTTGAAATTGTATAAGTGAACCGACATTACATACTATTCATATATAGATTCATATATGAATATACCATCTTTATTTGAACTGATCCCCTCTCTCTCTATCTATCTAGATATACAAACACACACACATACATGATGGAGATCTTTGTTAAAATTCAATTTGATTATTAGAAAAAATAGCAAAAAAGCGGAGTAGTCGAATCTTTTACCTGTTATACAATTTACAAAGGTACTCTTTAAAATTAAGGTTTTTTCACATGCCATACGCTGTTTCAAAGTATTGTTATGTATAAATGAGGTTTCATACATCATACATGTACAAGGTCATGCAACGGGTTGTCAATAGTACCAACAAAGAGGAAACCACAAAGATGGATAGCTTGCAAATATATACATACATACATATATATATATATATATATATATTATATTGTGTTCAAATACCATGTATATATATATATATATATATTATATTGTGTTCAAATACCATGTATATATATATATATATATATTATATTGTGTTCAAATACCATGATCCCCATTCACGTGTTTGGTTCAAGTTTGAGACCTCACAAGTTACATGTCCACTCAATGTAAGAATAGTTCACATCTTACATAAAATTCAATGCAATTTTATATCTTAAGCATATTACTAAATTAATCATCTATGGATTATGTGATAAAAACTATTTACTTCAACAAAATCTGTACACCTTAGCAAGATATATATCATTATCCCACAAACAAGAAGACATGCTTTTTGGTAGTTTGGTCTCCTATACTTGAACCGATATCATTCAATTCTTAATCTAAGCAAAAGGTTGATTATCAGCAAACCCGACCGTCTCCATAGGAACCTGCCCTTTAACAACCCCATTTGAGGAGACATTTCATAGCTCACTTAGTGGTTGAGGCTAGCGGAGGAGCTCAATCCCGTCTCTCTCAGGATTCGAACTTGAACTTGTGTATTTGAGCAAAAGTCAGTCAGTCAGTCAGTCCGTCCTTTCTCAACTGAACTACACACACGAGAGCAAGATCATCCTTAATTTATATAGACAAAAGGTGATTAATTAAGCAATACTGGTAATTGATACCAAAATTAAAGGGATGAACTGCATGATTTTATTTCTTTGTGTTCTTGATTGATCAGCAGTTGAAATGGACAGAAACTATGCTGCACATATGGGCAGGCTTCATTGCTAATCAAACCAATAAAACATGAAAAATATTATCAAATTATGCAACAGAAAACAAGCTTATTGTAATGCCCATATATTGATTTCACAAGATTAATTGCACCAAATGTAACAAATGGCAACACTTACTCGTATATATTACAAAAAGGATTGAGAAAATGAAACACAACACGTACCGTACGCTATGTTGATCCAAAAACATGATTTATGAAAACTCACCACAATGATTTTTGTTCGAACAGAAAAACTGAAAGAAAAACAAATGGATGATCATGGTGGCGAACTTAACTTGATTAATTAGTAATTCTACATGCAGTTTCCTAAGGGAAATTCAGTAGTCATTGGCTACGGCAGTTAATCTTTGTTGCAACATGGAGAGATCAGTCGACAGTGGATCGTTCACCTGCAAGAATAATCTGCTGAATGAGGACTAGATCGATTTGATGTTCTTCTGCATGGCTGAAACTCCAAATAACTAGCAATAGGTTACAAAGTAATTTACCTCAGATTGGAGAGAGTGAAAGACCCTTTCGTTTACTTTTGTTGAAATGCAGCTTATGACATTAAGACCTTCACTGGCAATTGCTTTTAGTACTCTTGAAAGAGGGAACCCATCTTCGATTGAACAACTATTGATCAAAATCTCAATTCCATCATTGCAAGAGCTGATGGAGACTGTATTGGGTACCAGATTCATTAAGCTTTCATTAGTATTTGTCCCAGAACCACCACCACCAGCAGTTGTCTCCGCAAATTTCTTGAGCCGATCTCTCTTGCCACTTAGAACCTTAATGTTTTCCTGCATGTGTTTGATGTAGTTCACTGCTTGGTGCATGTGATCCGATGTAGATCGTTTTCCCTAATTAAAACACCAATTCCATCAATGAATACTTTTACATCTTTGACTGAAATCCCAATTCATCATTTGCCCATATACACACACACAATAAGAAATATCAAGAATCAAGAATTCTTGAGGTTGATACTGACAAAATTGATTATATAAGCAGCATTCTCATGCGAAAATATATATGTATATATATATATATTTACATATAAACCTATAACTGATTGAAACCACCAATCAAGAAATGAACAACTCACTTTGATGAATTCGAGAGGAAGTAAACCCCTAAGTGAAGCATAAAGTTTGGCCATCTCTTGCCTGCGTTGCCTCTCGATCTCTCTATGAACCAATTTCTTTTGTGTATGTTCATCTTTACTATCTCCTACTCCTAACCCTTGATCAGTAGTGGCTGAATTAGCTTTAGATGGGGACTGATATCCGTACCTTTTTCTGGCCTTGCTGGCTGAAGGATTTAAATTTCCCTCCATGGTAACATGATCATGGAGCTCCACTATAAGATCTTGTTGATTTGGTGCCGGTTGTTGGAAGGATATTGTAGAAGGAATCTCATGAAATCCCAACTCATCACTTTGCTGGAAAGAGAACATAATTATATACGATACAAATCTTCGATTAAGCCCACCAGGGATTTGATTAAGGGCTGTAGTTGGGGAATATCTGTATAAAACAACTGCTAATCAGTGATCCTAGAGATACGTCTGGTAGGTTAAATAGTAAGATAAGAGATAGAGATCTTCAACGGCAGGGAGCGATGTTCAGGTTATCAAGATTTCTTGAAATCTTTCCCTTTTATTTATTAATAGCTATTATTTTCAATTTTGTGTATATTAATTTAAAAATCATGAGCATCACCAGCCATTATTTAATGGGTTTTTGTCTTTTTTTAATTCCATTAAATATACTGCAGTTTCTGAACATATGTAACCCCATCCATCTGTATTCACACTGACCACTGGACCAATATCCAACCAAGCTCTACCCTCCGTATCTAAATGGATCATCGGTTGGTGTCTAGGTTTTATTTGCAATAATCTAATCTTAACTCTAAAACTAGTTGGTAAAACCTAGAACCATGTGATTGTCTCTTCCATGAATATAGGAATTTAATCATTAAGCTGTACTTAATTGTGACTACATTTTAAATGGTCGGTTTATTACATGAAATTGGTTGAGTCGCCATGTTAGAAGAGCATCAAACTGCAATAAACGAATCATAAGCCTAACATCTCATCCATAACAAACGTTAAAACCACTCATGGTGCTTTAACTTGCTCTCAAATTTGATCATGTCTAATGTCTTTAAAAACGAACATGTTTAACTTAAAAATAACATATAAACACAACTCTCAACCAAGTTTCTAAATAGTGTTAGGCGTGGTGCGACGAGGTCAAGCCTCAAGCCTTGAAAGTCGCGGCAATTAGACGTTTTCTAAAGTGTGACTTATGGTGGCAAATTTCTATATTGTATATAAAATTATATACATAAATATATGTTTTCTACTGTTACTCAATAGATTAATGATATTAAGCAATTTAAATTAAGTTATATAATAAAAACTAACAAAAAAGACATAAAAATGATAAGTAAAATCATATATCGTGTTACAGAAATCGCACATTACGCACGTGAAGTACCTCAAGGCATAACGTGGCGTGAGACACAAGCTTTGAGCCATGGCGGCTGTTGCGGCTAGCTTTTTCGAACATTACTCTCAACATATATTATATCATTAGCTACAATAAAATAGGGTTTATAGAACCCCAAAATTGTATAAGTGTCCTAATAGACTATTTTATAAGACACAAATTTATAAGACCAAATGTTAAAAGGTGTTGCAAAAAGTTTATAGGACGCTTTTGGATGTCTTAACAAGTTGTTTAAGACACTTTTACAATAAAACATCACATTAATTATTTTATAGAAAACTATTTGAAAATGTGTCTTATAAAAATAGGTGTCCTACAAAAAATGTGTTTATAAAAACACTTCTAGAAAGGGTCATATAATATAATTAATATGATACTTAATTTTAAACGTGTCCTAAAAGACTTGTTAAGACGTCCAAAAGTTTCCTATAAACCTATTGCAATACCTTTAGACAGGACATTTTATCGTTTGATCCTATAAAACTTAATTATTTCCTATAAAACAATCTGTAACACTTGTATAACTTTAACGTCCTATAAAGAGTTTGTAACACTTGTATAACTTTAATGTCCTATAAACCCAATTTTATTGTAATGATTTATAAGACATTCTATACCTTTTAAAGTGATTAGACACACAAGGTACAAAAGTTAAATGTGCAACACAATAAAATGATTCTCTCTCTCTCTCTCTCTATATATATATATATAAGAGGTTTAAAATAATACAAATCATGTTATTTTTTACAAAATTTATAAATCAATCAGTTGAGATATTCATGGAAATTATTATGGTTCATTTATTATAATAAATATATATGGAAAATGATTATATTTTATTAATTATATATTAGGGGTTGTGTAGTTGGTTTTTCATTAAAAGATTATTTGGCAGTTGTTGAATGGTTTGGTGTAGAATGATTGTGGTCAGAATAATTAAGAGACTTTCATGATATAGTGCAAAATGAAATAAAATTGTTTGGTAATTGTTTACAATGAAATCATGACACTTAATGGTTAAGGGATGCTCATGATACAAAATCATTCATAGAATTTTAGAAACCATTAAGAGACAGACTTTTTATTTGCCAAACAAGATTCACCTCTTAATAATTCAGATCTTGTCTCTTAAGTTTGATATGGATAAAGTTGTCTATGTGGATTAATCTATCTTTATAGATTGAGAAGATTTTTATTTGGAATGGTTTTTTCATAGATAAAGTGAGCATGTTTTTTAATTGGGATGAATATGTTTGGAAAAAAACCTGACTTTTTGCATATCTTTTTAAAACTTAATGAATAAATCATTTTCTACATTATTAAACTATCATAAAAAATAAGTTATATATCTCATTAAGCTCATTAAACAGCTAACAAACATTCCCTTCTCTTTGAATTAACTAAACATTAATATTATTTTCTTTTTCCTTTAAATTATATCAAGTTGAGATTTTGACTAAGAAAATTTTGATGTTTTTAAAGATGCAAACGCCATAACTAAATCGCTGTTCCAAAAGTTGCTGAATGTCTTCATAATTGGAAAAAACCCATGAAGTAAAAAAGTCTTGTTTGAAAATAAGTCATAAAATATTAATTATAAGGCTACAAAAAAACACATGTGACAATAAATTAATGATATTGCCATCACAAGTCCTTATCTCTTATCTCCAAACTAAAAGGGTATGTACCTTTCCATATTTCTCACCTACGTCTTTTTCTTTTCGGATGTTTAATTGGTTTGAGTTTGGCTCCAAAGATTAAAAGTATCAGAATGTTCTAAGTTCCAATACAAGAAGGAATAAAAATCCCCTTATGGCCATGGATATTCAAATGCGGTGACTCCGGGCTATCTGCAAAGCAAGTGGTCGTCCTGGGATTAGTCGGCTCACATAGCGGGTTGGATATCCAGGTTAATCAAAAAAAATTAATAGTAATCCACACGGTAAAACTTATATATATATATATATATATATATACTTTGAGATCATGTGAGACCAGTCTGTTTTTTTTAGACCCGTGAAACTATTTTTTTACACTTAAAATTTTACAACAAAACGTTGTGAAAGTAATTGATGAAAGTAGGAGACCTTTTCGAAATTAAATTTGCTTGTAGTTAAAAAAAACCAGTAGCTACACCTTTGAAATCGACCAAAAACCTCAAAGTCTAATAAAAGTTGCTGAAAATAAACAAAGAAATCTCATAATTTACTGTTCCAATTGCTGCTGGATGCTTTCAAAATGCAAAATAAACGAGTCTTGTCTGAAAAGAAAATTAAAAGTATTTTTTAAGCCAAAAAAAAACACATGTAATAATATTTAAACGATTATAAATAAGTCCTTATCATCCAAATTTAAAATGTTAGCTTTTAGGTTATCTTAATATTTTAGTTAATCAGTTGTTTATCCAAATGCTTACCCAATAAATGTTTACTTGTAGGAGTTAACACTATAATTTACTTTGATGTGTATGATTTTAGCATCAAAACGTATCGAATGCAACAATTTACCGGATAAGCACTTGCCTGAGTAAGAGTTGTCATCTTCACTTATCGGGTAAGACTTTACACCCTTCTCATCACTCTTATCCAATAAAATTCTTGGTTCTTGTCATGTTCATCCTATGAGAAAACTTATCCGGTAAGTACTTACCAAACAAGCGTTTAGTAAACAGCCCCTAAAGCTCGAAAATCTTCGTTCATACATTTTTTTTTTCTATATTTATTAATTTATTTCATAGTTGAGTAAACAATTTAAGTATATATTTTAATCAATATCTTAAGAAATAAATAAATATTGGTTGCCAAATAATGAAGTAAGGCCACGTTTTCTTAAGCCAATTAGTGGTTACATGTGGACGCATTTATTTGAATGTCAATAAATTAATGGTCGAAACTTATATATTACGTCAACATTAATTTAATATATATATATATATATATATATATATATATATAATGCAAAATCAAGGTTTTAAGGTTAAAGTATTAACTTGAAAGCTCAATATTGCACCTTAAATTATATAACATTAATGATGAAATTAAAAGCAATAAGATTATTAATAAAGTTTGTAAGATCAATATTTATTAAAATAAAATTGGATTTAAATTTTAAGAAAACTATTTTATAAGACTTAATTGTAAGATTAAAAAATTAGATGTTTCATCTAAAGATGTTGTAATAAGTTTATAGAAAACTAATAACACGTTTGTATGACACTTACTACAAAGCATTTTAATAAGACGTTCTATTTTTTGGTTCTATAGATTAAGGGGCCGTTTACTTAAACACTTACCTGGTAAGTGCTTAATAGAAAAATTCAACTTTATCGCTTACTTATCGAGTAAGATTTTAATCTACCAAAACGACATTATACGTTACAATTTACATGGTAAACGCTAACCGCAGTTGCCATCACTTACCGAGTAAAACTCTCGGTTATTGCCTTCACTTTTACTAGGTAAGATTTTTGGTTCTTGTCATATTCATCTGGTAAGGGAATATAACTTGGTAAACGTTTACCCAATTAAGCATTTAGTAAACGACTCATAAGTCTTGTAAATTGGTTTATTAGAAGTTTAGAGATTTTCAACGTCCTATAAACCTAGTTTTGTTATGGTGATTTGTATGTTTTATATAAATAGTTTCGTTATGGTGATTTGATGTACAATTTGGTTTTGAATCGAAAATGGCTCTCAACGGAGACCAAACCAATCCTAATTGATTGCTTTTGGGTTTCATTCGATCGTGTTCAAAAATGATAAATTTGTCTACATTCACCCGAATAAATGTGTAAAGACAAACATAGCAACCGAAGTCGTACTCCCTCCTCACTGGTGGACATGATGGAGACAGGGAACATGTTTTTTTATGTACAAGTTTTAATGCACAAAGTATAAATTATATTTGCTTGCTATTTTGCTATCTTATGTTATACTTTGATAATTAATTTACCAATGGTTAAGCGATTAAAATCATTTTAGAAAAAAAAAATAGAGTTATAAACTTCCATTGTATGTTAATTAACGAATCAAACAATTGTTCAGGGCATCTCCAACTCACTACTAAAACATTAAAACCATAAAAATGGAAGCCTTTTTC